TACATCTAGAAGATGCTATACGCAAAAATTTTACTGACGAATTGTGTACTATGCGAACAGAGAGAAAGGGACTATAGCGAACGTAATTTCATTTTAAAGTTTATTGCTTCCCCTGAAAAACTGACCTTGCGCCGCCACTGGTATTACCTAGGATTTTGTCTTGTATTTTACTAGTAACAACTCATTAAATGTGTTTTTCAAAACTACATTCTCTGTTCCAATCAATCAAGAAACTCGTTTCTTTGACCACTGACTATTGGATGATGGGTCTTAACTTATGCACCGCAAGAAAAAATATAGATAATAATATACAGCAAAAAAAGTACTTTACGACAAAACAATCGGTACACAATTAATAAATACAAAAACGACAATGAAAGATAAGAGACAAAGCTAAGAAAAATAATTATCTTATAGCCACATATGAACAGAATCACCACGGGCGGATTCGCCTTTCAAGCAAAAGTTTAGTTTGACTGTGTTCTGTTTTAGCCAGTTTTCCACAAATGCTTTTGATGGTAAAAAAGGAGATGACATCAAGAATACTGATAGTGTTATTAATTTTCTGAACTTTTTAAGAATAATTGGCATGATCGCATAAAATTCGTTAGCAGTGGCAACATTATAGATTGTAAATGATTCCAGATTTGAAAAAATATGTGAAAATAATTCTACATTCTCAATTGACTAGACTTTGCCATCACCAGATAAACATAATTCATTAATCATCACCAGACGTTGACAAACATGATCTGAACTTTTGATTAAGCGAAGAAGATAATCAGCACTTAACATTAAAGAGGAAATATTCAGGGATAAGTCCAGCAAACGTTCGAATGTTTCAAACGGCCACCAATCATAAGGCCACATTCGTAACTCCTTTAAATTCGACAAGTCGATTGTTCGGCCAAGGTCGTCCAAAACCGATGGATTTGAAAGTTCCAACATATATCCTAAGTACAATGTTTTGACATTAAAATATTGACATTTCGTGTGGCGCAGTTCGTTATAATCACAAACATCCAATTCATCGACTTCTATACGAGTTGGTGTTGAAATTGGTTTACCTGTATTTCTTGAAAAGAAGAAAAGAATACAGAAGTTATGAACCGTCTAAGCAAATAACCAAGCTCATATTACAATAAATGTTTTCCAGTTTTCAATCTACTGCACGGCTTGGCCAGAAACTCTGCTACCTGAGTGATATTCTGTCAGGGATTTTTTGTATTTTGATTCTCTTTCAGTTTTCAAATGACGAGTCACCCAGAGCTCTGTGACATTAGAAATTAAAGAGAAAAGTCTGCTAAAGATTTCGGAATATTTCCGTACTCTGCACAATCTTTCGCTCAAAAACTCCGATAAAATACAAAATCCTACTTTTCAAGACTTATCCAGAAAAGTAAGTATTTCTATTTTTATCGCAGTTTTTCAACGAAAGATTTGCCGAAACATCTGGAAATCTTTCGGAGGCTTTTCTCTTTAATTTCAAATGACGCAGAGCTCTGGGCGAATTGTCATTCGACAGCTGTACGACAATCAAAATGCAAAAAATCCGTGACGGAATTTCACTTCGGTAGCAGAGTTAGGTGACCAAGCCGCGCAGTCTTTACGAAATGATTGTTACAATGAGAAAAAGAAAAGAAGTTTAATGAAATCTATAATTTCTCTTAATTAATTTACGTACAAAATGGGAAACAAAATGCTATAGTCAAACAAGCGATGGTTCATGTTTCTTTTCGCAATCTAATCAAACGAGTTGTCGTCTTTGATTGATCTTGCCGATTTATTGAATAGTCATAAACGGATCAAAGCAAAAAGTAATATATAAAATTTTTCTTTCAAAAGTTCCGATATGAATAAGAAGAGAAAGGACTCGTAACAATTTCTTACGAAAACTGGCCCAATATAAGCCGCCCGTAATTCAAAGTTTAAGTACTATTCTTTGTTTTGACTTTACCAGACATATTCTGATAGAGGAAATCGAGCTGAATCCGAATATCACATTTATTTTGCTTTACGATCTTTCCTTCTTGATGAAAATTGTGAAATACTGAGAAGTATCCGAAAATCGGAAAAACTTATACTTCCGATGTTTTGCATGTAGTGTTTTCTAGTTAAATTTTGCAGTTTTGAAACAGAGGTTTTCTGAATCAGCGTGTCAAACTGCATATGATAACGTGTCTTTGAACTTCTCCACATCGCTCTTAACCTTTGCAAAAAATTCATTTCTAAGAGAACTCAAAAACGAGACCCTCCACTCGAACAAGCATCAAGTCTCTTGCCTTAAGAGATGAAGCCTTGTTTCACACAGCATTCGAACGGTCATGAAGCGGAGAACAAAGTTATAACTGCAGATTTCTGAATTTTTGCTGATGGCTCTTGAAGACTCAGTTTTCAGAAACTCAAAAAAATGTCCAAAACCTTTCTTAATGAGACATGATTATAGTTCGTAAATTTCCAATTAAAATAAGATATCTCACAGCTCTACATGAGCTTTCTTTGCAAAGTTATAGAATTCACACGAAAAGCCCTAAATTAATTTTTTCCTTATTTCCGAAGGTTTGAGCCGACAGTGAACATTTAGCGCTTTTCGTGTGAATTCTATAACTTTGCAAAGAAAGATCATGTAGAGCTGCGAGATATCTTATTTTAATCAAAAATGTATGAGTTTCTGAAAACTGGTTTTCCAGAAAACTGAGTCTTCAAGAGCCATCAGCAAAAATTCGGAAATCTGCAGTTATAACTTTGTTCTCCGCTTCAAGGCCGTTCGAATGCTGTGTGAAACAAGGCTTCATCTCTTAAGGCAAGAGACTTGATGCTTTTTCGAGTGGACGGTCTCGTTTTTGAGTTCTCTTAGAAACGAATTTTTTGCAAAGGTTAAGAATGATGTAGCAAAGAATCTGAGATTAGGAATGGAATGTTTACTGCTTACAAAAAAATGATCAGCGGGATTGACAGAAAATCAAGGACACTAGATTTTAGCCTCTAGGATTTTGAATAATTAACTGTTATTATTTCTACGTGCTTATAATTACGGGCTGCGCCACTAAACGCCAGAATATTATGAGCCCACGCAGAAAAGAATTTTCTGGACTACATTACTCAGAATTCAGTGAGGCCGAGTCCACCCTGGTCAAAATTCAGAGAGCCTTAGCTCATCTTAGTCTAAATTCCTGGCGCCGCCGCTACTTATAATGCTACACCAAGAATCAATGTGTAAAATCCATTCTAGATGGTACTTTGGTACACAAAATCATCAACTTACAGTGCTAAGAATTCGTTATTGCATGTGGTAGTTGTTTGTATAGAAGATCCCACTTTTATATAACGATAATGATAAGGAAACGAGTGGAATCCTAAATCACATTTGTTTGTATCATAATCACAGGCCATATACCATTTTCGTTTTAGCCAATATTCAGTATGAAATGAAGCTAGCAAAGGAGCGATAATTGATGCCGATTG